ACTGACTTGATCAGTTATACATAGAATATAAAGTCGGAACAATGCATATTTTATGTTAGAACTATACATCTATTTCAGCCTTAATTATCAACAATCTTGCGACGTTGATGTTCGATTCTAATATGAAATAAACATTTATAAAAAGCGACTAGCTAACATGAGTAATGAAGATCTTTATCAATGCGTTTAATAAATATCTTGTATGTTCCTGAGTTTTTCTTGAAGTCTAGGACAAGTCACTATAACAATAATATGACTTCCGGAATTTTCGCTGGTCATAATCATGATGATCACCCTATAGATGGGAATATACTGTGCGACGTTAAAAGGTGTGTTGGATTTATAAAGATCAAAGTGTGTTGGATTTCTTGACTATAATCAATGAAGACTTATGTCGCCTATCGAATCGTTAAATCTGGCCAATCAAGACTTTGGGTACTAAGTGACTTGCTCGGTAGTACAATGAAACAAATTTATTACTATGTCGTCCACTCTACAGTCAGTAGCCAATCAAGACTTTGGGTACTAAGTGACTTGCTCGGTAGTGCTGAACTACCATTAAAATTCATCTCATTTTGAAGCTAAATGACTGTACTTTAAGTTATATGTAACCAAAAAAATTTAGCTGCCACCCTTGTGAAGTTAGAGTATCATAAACCCCTGACAAAATTCTCAACCAATTCGATGTCGATCACCTGATTGTGCTTTGCATCGATATTTTTTTCAACAAGTATAACTCCCTCAGTTTCCATGCAAATTGCTTAAAATTTTTTTTCTTTTGTAGCGCTGAATCTAAACTTTTAGAAAAAACTTTTAAACTAATTGAAAACATTGTCTGAAATGCCACGAGCTGGAGAATTGTCTGATTTTGAACGTGGAATGATTGTTGGTGGAAAAAGCATATGTATCAGGAGATAGCTGCTATAGTCAAACGTTCAAAAGGAGCTATTCAAGATGTAATTGAACGATATATGAATGACAGGGTCATTACGGCAACACAACGGTCTGGCAGCTGAGTAAAAGAGATGAGCGGCAATTACTAAGGGAAGTCAAGAAAGATAGAAGTATTATGCTCGAACTGTTAACAGAGGCATTTAACAAGTCTCTTACTATCTCAGTAAGTTCAAGAACGGTACAACGTACTTTGCATAATTATGGGTTTTATAGTAGAGTTGCTAAAAAAAAGCCATTAGTAACTGAGAAAAACAAGAAGATACGTTTAGAGTGGTGTAAGAGGATGAAGAATTGGAAGGAGGAATGGGAAAGAGTGGTTTTCAGTGATGAGTCAAGATATCTGATATTTAAAAATGATGCTCATAAGCTTGTCTGGAGGAGGTGTGATGAAAAATATAAGCAGGACTGCTTAACACCAACCATAAAGAACTCACCTGGAGTAATGGTGTGGGGATGTTTCTGTAAAGACAGGATGGGGCCGCTGATTCTAGTGGATGGGAATATTAACGCTGCCAAGTATATACAAATATTAGATGAATATTTATTGCCATATCTACAAGAGCTTGGCATAGAAAACTATATTTTTCAAGATGACAATGCCCCTTGCCACACAGCGAAGTCAACAGTTAAATGGAAAGAGTCAAAATTAATTGATTCGCTTGAGTGGCCTTCCCAGAGTCCTGACCTTAATCCAATAGAACATTTGTGGGATGAATTAGAAAGGAGAGTTAGGAGAGATAAAGTAAAACCAAAAAATAAGGCAGAACTGTTTGCTGCACTGGAGAGAGAGTGGGGTCAAATACATAATAACGTGATCAATAATTTAGTGAATAGTATGCCTCGAAGAGTTAAAGCTGTGCTGGATGCAAAAGGAGGCGCCACACCATATTAGATACATCATTAAAAAGGGCATTTTTTTGCGAATCGAACAATGTAAATTATAATGATTTTTATTATGTGGGTTTCCAAGTAAACTAGATTTGAAATGATGCTATTGCGAAGACGATTTCGAATGATCGCCGTTTATACTTATACTTTTGGCAGGGGGGTGTACAGTGGCCTGATCGCTTGTATCCATTGATTCATTCCCAATATATGACATTGTTACAAATCACAAGTTATGAATATCCTATATTTGCTCAAAAAGCAATAGTTATGCTGTCGTGGCTTCAGACCTTAGATGCAAAAATGATACAGGTGAAGTTTATCTAAAAAAGAATGTTACAGTGCATTTCGTTAGATCTTTCGAACTCTCTAACGAAAAGGCTGCAGTCTGACATGCTGTATTTAGCATAGATACGTTTCTTGATGCTTCTTTATATATTGTTCAAAAGAGCAAAACAGATTCTACAAACTTCAATATTGTGAAGGGGTTCCTTGGTATGTGTAATTTACCTATTAAAACACGCTAAAGATAACGTTGTTAAAGCGAAATGGCATAAATCTGACGTCTTCGGAGGTCGTTATTCAAAAAACTGCTTAAAAGAGTCCGGTGAATTAGAGTGGATTATGAAACTATGGGTATAGGTGATCAATTTGGTGTTGCTATAGAAGAATGTGACCTCTAAATAAAGCGAAGTAAGAGTGTTTTTTGTGTAATAGAGCCAATCAAATTTCATGGAATATTCGAAATTGATTTCCCATGACCACACCAAATTTGGTAATATACCTGACTGAAGTGACTTACAATGATGTACCGGTAGTGTACTAAGTGACTTACAATGATGTACCGGTAGTGTACTAAGTGACTTACAATGATGTACCGGTAGTACAATGAAACAAATTTATGTACTAAGTGGCTTAGATGTACCGGTAGTCGGTAGTACAATGAAACAAATTTATTACTATGTCGTCCACTCCAATGTACTTATTACTATGCGCTATTTACCATCTATATAACAGATTGATTGGTGCGACGGTATACAATTACTGAGGCGTACCTATTCATAAAATAATTATTTATACAATAAACAATTTTGTTATATAAACGCACGCTTTGGGTTCCAACTCATCAACAGATTAAATATAAAAATAACTTATATATCTCTCTCTACCATTAAGTAGCATAGTTAAACCTTCTTGCGGATGTCCGCACTACACAACACATTTTATACCCATACATCTGTCGAATCTCCAAGCCAAACGCTATTTAACGCTTATCGTTATACTCAGTAGCCCGCCATGGCCAGTTTTAATAACCAATCGATTTACGAAAGTTATACATCCAATATTTCATCTGATCAGGCGTATAGTATGGACTCTAATCATGCAGACAGTCTTCATTGGGATCAGACGTACAGTACGGACCCGAATTCCGCAAACAGTCGTCCATGGGATCACACAATTAATAGTGACCCTAATGCCGTTTATTCCTATCCGCTCGGTCAACAACCTTCCAATCAAGTTTTTTCTTCTTTCACTGGCTCTCTTGACAGCAATAATGTCTACGCGGATGTAAATGTACAGTTGAATACCACGCCTTACGGATATGTTGAACAAAATGAAGATCAAATTATCAATCCTAATCCAATCTCTCCGACAGATTATAATTTGACCGATTACAATTCACCCGCCATTCATTATCCTCTTCCTCAAACATTGATTCAAACACCACCTACTTCTACCCTTGCCAACAATACTGGCATAATGACAAACGCTACGAGTCATCACGGATGTGTGATAATTATTATGAAAGCAGACATCAATCTGGAAAAGCTATTGTCCATTATTCAATAACGTAAGGGAAGTATGAATATCAATAACCTATTTAAGAGTTGCCTTTTTTTATTTACAAATTTTGTTATTCGTAATTGGGAAAGGGACATCATTTCATTTTAGTCATATCAAATTATTTTTCATGTTTATTGCTTACTCTTATCTGGCTCATTTGGATGTGAGAACAGTGATTACACTTGTATAGTCTCCGTAACTTTTTAATTACATCTATTACAGTAGTGTTGACTAACAAATGTATTGCGAACAGACATAAAATAAAGAGATATACACTGTCTAGAAAAATATTCTAATAGCACTGAGGTCCGGAAGCTTTGTTTAAAAACACCCGAGCAACCCAACTAGATAATTTCAGAGTATTGTCGGTAATTTACAGAAAGTGTTCGTTTATCAATATGGTGAAGAGCGAGGGTAATTTGAATTACATAGCTTAGATTTTCTTAAATCTGTGTGTGTCCCGGTCGCGCGTAATAGTAAAGATTTATAGTGATTCTGTCTTTGGTTTTTTCAATCCAGTAATACAGTATTAGGTCTGCTGGGAAGAGATTTATGGGGTCTTCTAAATCATACTGCGAAATTACAGATTGGTGAATACATCATTAATCGGTGCACTCGCTATTTCTCCAGTTTATAATATTGTTTTGTTTTTGAAGTTTGCCATCCAACACTATTTAAAAGCAAATAAACATGTTTAATGGTAATTACGTATAGCTATATTTTCTTACAAGGATTTGAAACCTGAAACATTTAACTTTCTGGCGAATTGCATTGCCTTTTGACTCAAAATTGAACTAGTTACTGTATTATTCGCAAGATTTAAACCAAATTGACAATGCTTTTTCCAACCGCAATTTTTATTGGCATCCGTTGAACTTTCAGTAACCGCAAAGCCATTTCTCTTTTTCCTTAATAATATCTCCCACCGTTGATTTGCCGACATCGAATGTCTTACCACGCATTTAGTTGGATTGTTTGTTTTGTTTTTTGAATATTGATTGGTAAGGTAATTAAATTTCTTTTTTTACTTCCAAATATAGACGTTCCTTCTACGTTCATTTTACAAATGTCAGAAGGTTCGGGAGTCAACCTCTCGATATTCCTGGACGCAAACAATCATACAGTTACACAGTTTATAGTAAATAGATATAAAATAATGCGTTGTTTATGTTGTGACCTGACTCAGTTGTTCGGTCCACAGGTCCCCAACATTTATCAAGTGTTTATATTAGGGATACTAATACAATGTAGATGAGCATCAAATTCACCACCCTTGCCTCTATGCTGACCGGGAAAATGTTCTTTAATCACAACAATTAATAGAAAACGACGCTCTGATAGACAAATGACTTATAGTGAACGACTGCGCATCAACTATCGGTTTGAATATCACTCTCGTCGATTCATTTGTTGGAGGTTCTCAACCATTATTAGCATCTGCATCGACCGTAACACGCAATTCAAATGATGACTTGTATAGTGTTTAATAAGTTCATAATATGCCAAACTGGATTTCTAAGACAGCTTCGACTATAAATAATTGCTGATATTTGCTTCTCTTTTCTAATTCTAAAACTGGTTCGTTTTCAGAGACAACGATTTTTCGAATTGTAAATAAAGTCGGAGTCCACGTTGGATCAGATGGCGTCACTATTGTGAAAACCGAATACAAAGTCATCTGTCCTCGAAAAAAAAAAGTGAAAACAACGCGCGATGGTCGATTGTTTTGTACACGAATAAAATAACTCCCCAAAAACTTAGATTTTTCTCCAAACTCTTTTACGGCTTCTCTTTTTTCACGATTTTTAAAAATGATGAAATTCAAAAGATTACCCTCGTCGGGGAAACAATATTTTTATCGCCACGTTCTCTCTGGTATGCCTTATTATACCCGCATGTGTGGCAGCATATGCGCGACGAGTAAAGGAAAAGGGTTGGTCAAATACCAAGAAAATTTCTGTTAAGATGGGCCCGTTTGCATTACCGTTAAGATGCATTGAATGAAAATGATATCTCGGGGACGAAGTCTTTCATAAGGGTTTGCGTGAACCCCAACAAAAGATTATCTGTTTCCCACTCAAGAAACATGTGTTCCCATTCATAAATGAAGGTTTAAAGAAGGCGGTAATATCCAACCAAATATACAGAGCGACTGGTGTTGGAAAAAGGGAGATTTGTTTCTGGCATGTCCCGCTGCCCTGACCCAACATTTCGATCGAGCTCATTAATAATATATAGAATAAATGTTCGTAATACTGGCAAGCTTAATGGATTCGACTGACAAAAAGAACAGACAATTTCCATACGCTTATCGGTAAAGTAAAATCCAATTCAAACTGTGTACTACATCGTACTTTTAAAAATAATGCGCTTACACTGTCTTTTTCAAGATGGTGTAGGGTCTTATAGAATGTGGGTAATAATATAAAACATATCGAATTTCATATGTTCTAAATGGTAGAAAAGTATAGATAAATCTTATTCACTCCAGAGGAACTTTACTTTCCGGTAATCCGGTCAACTGACAGCTAATATTCCACCAGAACTTTTGCTTCTCGCTGACATAGCTCTCGTCACTTGATGGAGCAATGTTACAATTGTGCTTAATATATACCCCACTGCGATTCTCGAGATCCGATGAAGTAGCTGCGTAAACAAGCACATCCCCACCCTTTTATGAGAAAATAGCACGTAAATCATATGCATTAGATCCAACAGTGTTGTTTCGAGAAAGCATAAGAAAGCATACCTGTTCTATCGTTCTTGCAAAAGGCATATAAGAAAGTATGTATTTCATCGCAAGTCGCCTTCCCAGACTGAAATTGCGTACCAGTCCTGTACGCGGAACAAAACCGGGGCTAAGAGCTATAACGCACAATTTGTTCTTTGAGCGTCTGGGCAGACTTGACGGCTGACGGTCTTGTTGATTTGACTGAGACGTTTCTTGTTGATGATCCGTCTTGACGTTCTTGTCGTTACTATCTTCATCTTTATCCGAATTATTCTCATCGTTAATATCATTATGCTTGTCATTGTCGCTGATTTTATTATCGACGTCCTGCTCGTCTTTACGTTCTCCGTTGATTATTTTGTCTAGTTGATATGCGCATAATACTTGCAGTAGTTTTGTATTTCGATATGCAACAAATTCATCATATTCTTTTTCGCCTTGTAGATTCTCTTCGTTTAAATATGGTCCCTTGCCATGCCCGACTTTTGGAGAGTGAAGTTCTGACGAGACAAAAATTACTCTTGATATCGGATGCGAATCAGGGTCACTAGAGTAAGATGAAGGATGAGAATGACGATAGAGAAGGGCCGGTAATAACAGGTTGAGGAGCAGGAAATGAGATAGATGGTTGGTTTGCAGAGTGCATTCGAGGTTGTCGTTTGTTATTTGTCGTGATGTGAAGATTGCACCTGATTGACAAACACAAAGAGAATGTTAATGAGAATGCAATTGACTCCACGAGTGTTGATTAGATGCGGCTGGCCATATGCCTGTAATCCCTCTTCTCTAGCATATTAATATTGATAGGGATTACTTATGGGTCATTCTAACCTTCACAGCCTATGGACAGTTATTACTCAAGATTGGCGCAATTACCTGCATTTAAAATCAACACATCCAAGCCAATTTTTTTCTCTGTAAACCAATTGACAAACTGTTTTACTGATTCGAACGACTCTAGGTCCAAGTTCGTAATTTCCAGTGTATGATGATGATATGAATTATTGTATAATTGTCGAGTAGCTTCTATGTTTCGGACAGGAAGAATAATGTGATAGGGGGTTGAGTGCGTCAGAAGAGTAGTCACTGCTTGATGCCTGCATAGCGAAGATAGACGAAGCGTATGTATCAGTTATAGGATATGAGTGTATGAGCGTTGCTGCAACCCAAAGTGAATATCGAGCAATTGTTGGTTTGATGATGCAAGTAGTCGGCAGAATCCCCTTTAAGAATTAGTGACCATTAATATAAAGTTAGAGTCTGCCTGACAGATTGCGGAATCAAACCCAATTACAAAAATGGTTCACCTTTTGCTCATTTGAATTCTTTGTTAGAAATGCCATGCTCATGCTCGCCTGCTTGCAATGTTCCCGAATGTGAAGTCCACTTTGGTGAGCCAGTCAGATTCGGTCAGACGTGTGAGAATCTACTGCTCAGCAGAAATGTTCCGTACTCACCAAGGTGTTTTGTAAATACTGACGGGATACGCGTGTTTGCAGAGGACGCTGACGTCACGAAGTTCACTTTGTTGTAGCAGGCTAACAGGGAATAAAGTGGCGTTGTGTTGGACTTACCCGAGCCCAGCGCTTCCTCCCGTGAGTATGATAACTTTCCGCTGTGTAGTCATTTTCGAAAGATGAGGATGCGGAAGATAGGCAATATCAAGTCATGTGATGACTGCCGATAGACGATGGTAATTGAAGGCAGTGCAGCTCACCACGTTAGCATTATTCAAAGTGACTCTTCTAGTCACCATATAATTTTTTAAAGCACAAAAAAAGCCACCATGATCAGTTTTTTCGAGGGTACTTTACCAATGAAAGGGAAAACCGAAATTGATAAAATAGACTCGCTCCACTGACTAGTAAAAAAAGTTCAGGCACCTTGTGATTACATAAAAAATTAAATCGAATTCCCCTTCACTTCTTTTTTTTTTTTTTTTTTTTTTGCTTAAACTTATAACAAAAACGATTATTTTATTTGTCACAATAAAAAATAATTTAACCGTTAATTGATGAGATGAAGAAAAAAGAGTCATCAAATTTTGTTGCTACAAGAACTAATACTAAATAACAAGACTGCTGATAAGAAAGGGAAATTTTTTAAGGAAGCTTTACAAAGACTAAAATTTTTACCGACTCCCCAGATAGAATTCTTAATAAAAAGGGAATTGCTATATGTTGTCCTCAATATCAATGTTAAATAAGATATTACTGCTTACGAAGACAGTTATCAACATTTTACTTGAAAAAAAGATGTGGAGACTAATATTATAATACTTCATTTGCTCGTTGCTCGAGAACGGGTATATAAATGTGTAAACAGAAAATTGTATGTTAAAGCTTGAAAGTAGCTGTCTTTATTCCAAATTATTAATTTATTCCTTTATTTTGAATAACTTGCTTCTCATGGAATTTGAGAAATTAATTAAGAGACTGGGGTAGTTAAGAGAAGAGCCAAATGTCGTAATATTGTCATATTTACTATTACTAGTAACCTGTTTGCCAATACTCAGGTAAACGGCATTAGATTACAACGCAGATATTGTCCGCATTGCTTCGAGGACGTTATTTTCTTTTGTATTTATTTTTTCAAATTTCTGTAAATAATGGCGATGTAAATACACGTATTAGCTAATTGTTTCGTTTGCATTGGTTATACCTTGTGTCCAAAAATGTAATATGCCTCGGCGTTGTCTTTCTTGAATCGATAATGGCATTTCAATAATTTTTTTCGGGAATAATATCAGTTGAAAATCTGTTTAAAAATAGATTATGAGGCACTATTTATTCTATAAAACGCGTTGTATATTGTTTTACAAAATTGGCATTTTACACGTATTTTATAATTTGTAAAATTTATCTTTTTTTTTTGTTACACACTGTATATTCATGTTAGTGAACAGTTTAGTTTCTTTCTTTTTTCTTTCTCATACAGGCTGATCCTTCAAAAAAAATCTTAACTGTTCATCCTTAGCTTCAGCCACCTCCCCTTCATAAATGATATTTGCAAGCAGTGCAATGCTTTCAGACATCTCTCTACCCCATTCTGTGGCATGCTCCTTAAAGATACTTCTACCATTCACTCCTATTGCATTATAACAATTTATGCACATATACTCACCTTTATGATCCCTGAAATATGAAGCCAGAGTTTCATTAACTTCTGCCTTAAGTAAGACGTTTTCAGTTATTTTTTTCCACCTAGATCCCGAAATTCCTTTGCATATTCACTGTTTGTTAGAATCTAGGCCTGTACTACCTTCCATGTCTTGCAAAATGTGTCTATAACACAGTAACCCTCAATATATCAAATAATTAAACATTACTTATACAACATTTATACTAACATTAATACTTTACTATTTCATATCCCTGGCTTTTAGCCACATTTCTTTATTGATTCAGTTTAGTCTTGTCTAGATAGTTTTGCTTCTATTCATGTACTAGCTGTCTAAAAACAGCTTTAGCAGTTATCTGTAGCTGTCAATAAAGATCTTACATTAAAAAAAAAGTGTCTATAACAGAAAGAAGTCAATACTTGGATTATTTTTAATGAATATAGACTTCCAAGGTCTTTCAATAAGTAAAACTTTATTGACTTCCAAGGTCTTTCATTCTCTTTTTTTTTTTTGAACAAATTTAATTGGGGAGTTTCACGAGAATGCTAAGTAGTCTAAAATGTATAAAAAATTTTTTTTTGAATTGATTCCAGCCACAGCACAAATATTGGGGCTGTCTGCTATTGCTCTTTTTATGAACATCAATTAAATGGACTACAAAAAGAATTGGCCACTGCAGAAGAAGCTTTAGAAATAGAAAGGGAGGAAGTAGCCAAATTTCAAGAAAAGTCTGAGGAGTGAAGTAAAAGGCAGAAACAAGAATCATTGAATAAGATAAAGAGTTTAGAAGAAAAAATTAAGCAATTAGAAGAGGAAAACAAATTATTGAAAAGACAACAGAATGGTCAAGTTGCTCAAATTGAAATTAAAGAGACTAAAAAATGGCCTTGATTGAAATTAAGGAAGTAGTTTAAAGATTGGTAAATTTCATAAGTAATTTTTCTTTATCCAGATATTCCTGGAGAATTTTGGTGTCATTGATTTTAAAAACATATGGAGCAATTTTTTCTCCTTGAACTTTCTTTAAAATACTTCTGATAGTGCTGTAATTTTTTGGTTCCATGGTAGATTTAATGTAAATAAGTTTCATATTTATATTTATATAGGGAATAATCATTGTAAAACTCGTTTCACTATTAAACGATTGTGCGCACAATTAAGCAATTCTCGAAATTCAGAAGCTAAACAATTATTTACATGAATGCGGTTTGGAACTAACTTTATAACGTCAACCTCATTATTAAACAGTAAACAGCATATCCCAGTCAGAACCACTGATCGACATAGGCTCATCATTATTTGTATAGTTTACAATACCCTTCCACCATCATTATCAATGACCACATTCACCGGAGTCAAGGCGTGAAGCTGCTTTCCAAAATATCCATGCAACGCGACTTGAGTGCATGAACATCTGGCGCAGGGCTCGTCAAAGATTTCTTTACTTGCTGCAACGAGCTGGCGTTGATTTTATCTGTCGAAAGCTGCACCGAAGGCAGCAGCGTTTTCAAGGTCACTCTAATTGTGAATTACCGGAGTCAGTTGACGTTCAGGGAGATAGTAAAATTTCATGCGGTCAGATGCTGAGGACGTAAATCTGAAGGTCGTTGTGCAGTGGCAGATCAGCCGACCCTCGGAGAGCGCTGTCTACTGATCATACCATCTCTTCGACAATGCACTAGAGTGATTATCGCCGCGCAACTATCCAGGGATGGAACTCATCCGGTGACATCGAGCATGTAGTCGAAACACATCAGATACATCCCCCACAGACTATCCAGGCCATTACGTGGTGATACCGAGGCGGACCATTCACAGGAGAATGCAGTCTACTGATTGGATCATCTTCTCAACGAGGTGTTAATCACCAACGTCGCCACGCAACCATTCGGAGACGTAAACCTAAGTCCGTCTGGGATATGCCGGTTTCCAGTCCGGCACACTGGTAGTCTGTGGATGCACTATATAAGGTGGATAAATAATGGAAAACTTATCTTTTCAGGACCCAATACCGAAAACAGGGAAAGGCTGAGGAGTCAAAAAATCGATTTATTTTTAGTTGTTTATGTTACACTTGATCCTGCGATATTATTGGATTAAATCGCGTGAAAAATGATTTCCAACATTCTGTTTGTGATCTCTTACAATGCTAGCTTGGGTACACAATCATCTCAACACCTCAATCTGGAGGACTTTTATAAAGAGTTTGAGTACTCATACACTGTAAGAAAACAAGCTGAAGAGAAATTGCAGAGTTGCTCAACTGATGCCTTTGAGGTTCTTCATCAGGTACAAGTTAGTATATACTATTCACAATGTCTAATTCAATGCCTGAAATAATCACAATTCACAATTTTTATTATTGATAGGCTATTATCAAACAATCAGCTTGATGTTGTCTTGCATGTTTCTGTACATTTCCTGCCACTCCTAAGACAACATCTTGCCATGTGATGATGAGGTCTTCTTTTCATACTCCAATGAAGGTTCTACTTTTGAGCATAAGTTTTATGTTTCAAGAGAAATTCCCTAATTGTACACTTGAGAAACTAATGTAACTACACATCTGGCTCATACATTTCTGGTTATCCCTACAAAGTGGAAAATTTTGTTCTGAGACAATTTGATATCATAATCAGTGAAATGCACTGGGATAAACTTCAACAAAATGGCTGACACTGTCAATCATTATTGAGTGATATTCAAGACAAGAAATAAGTTGTGGGGCTGTTGCTGCTTTGCTATTGAGTTAAAAGCTGTGTATATCAATAACCAATGTGATTGTTAGTAATATGACAATAAAAAAGTTAAATTGTAAGAAATAATTATGGAGATGTCAAATGTTCACTTTGTCTGGTTTTGTTGCAGCATGCCCAATATAAACTATTATCACAGACAGGGAAAGCTCAAATTGACAATATACTTCAACAAAATGATCTAATGAAGGATCTTTCTCACCACCACCCCACCTAAGAAAATACCAAGACACTTATCACTATGCCATATATAACAACAGGAACCTCCTGCCCTTCATCCACATCATCTATCATGTGCTTTCTTTTTAAATCCTAAGTGACAGATTAATATTGTAAAAAAAAAAAAAGTCATGAAAAGAGTGGAAATGGAAAGCTGGCATTCACTTGCTTCCACACAGCACTGAGCATCTTGCATGATGTTCTGAGCAGCCCCTTTATTGAATTGTTCATTTTTAGCTTCACTGACCAAAACTATTGCATCCCTAGCATAGATACAGTAGTCTATTATGCCATATTAATATGCATGACTTCCATGGAGAAGTTCTTTAGACTTGAGTATAAGAAAGTCTTCCCATCTTGGACCAGACTTACAGATGTTGCCAAGAAGGCAGAGATAAATTCTCAAGCTAAATAGATTTATTCCATTTAATTGATTGAAAGCTCTTCAATTTTTTTTTGCAAGCTCACCAATTACAATAGTATATTGATTACATTTTCTTCAAAAGCTGGGCTTGGTTCTCTTAATTTGTCTGCAAACAATTTTGTGTAAGAATATCATAAAGATATGATTGCTTTCAGAAATTGGTTACCTACTGTATATCAAATTAGGGAATACCTTCCACATTTTGACCTTTCAGAAAGAGCACTTGCTCAAGAGGCTAATCTATTTCCCATTCCTCATATTAATATGGTTTCATACCTACAGGAGAAAAAGAAAACGAATAAACATTCATGTCATTGCAACACTAATAACAGTAGCCAACTGAAAAGACATTATCAATTCATAAAGCTAAATCAGCTAGCTCATATCTCAACAAAAACCTGTGTACACAATTAACATTATGTGAAAGCTTTAATCTCCCAATCCTGACATACAGCAGATAGCCTGCTGTGAACATTCTTCAAACTAAAATAGGTTCTAATAAGATTACTTATTGGTATCAGGTCAACAATATGCTTCATGCACCAAATGTTGTTGTAGTAGTAGTTGCTAAAGATTTCATTGAAGATTGTAACTTAATATATTACTGTAACTCAAGCATATGCCAAAAGCTAGAGATTACCCAGACTGGATATCTGCCATTAGAGAAGACATTGAACATTATAGTAAAGGTCAGTTGAAATATTTTTCATTTGTAAGCTTATCAGTTGTTTTCTATCATATTTATTCAATCTTATAAGAAATAATATGTAAATCATAATTTAAATACTATAATTAAATTTGCCAAATTAATATGTTTTTTCACCAATTTGATGTTTTTGTTATAAGTTTTGTTTTAATTTAGATTTGGCAAGGTTTTTTTAATAATCCTGGGTCTCTTCCTCTTTACAAGCTATGAATTGTAAATCAGTCCTCAGACCCATAATTTGAATTTGTGGTGTCAGTGGTATCATAACAAGATTAACATTTCTAACTGCTATGTAATCTGTGGACTTCTAAAGAAAATTCTTAACAGCAATAGCAATGTTCTGGCCATTATTATTTAGTTTTCACTTGGGTATTCTCTTACTATTACATTACTTTCTCCTATTTTGAATATATCTATGAGCTTTGTAATTATTATTATTTGATCACAATATTTTCAGCTACCCAACTTTCATTGACTCAGAAAGATAAAGTTTTTCAAAAAGTTTTGCAGTGAAAAGTAGTGGACATTAACATTAAACTTTCCAATCTATTACTATGACTTGGACAATTATTAATGAGCAATAAAACATGATTACCACCATGTTTCTTAGCGACTCCTTATTGAGCATCCAAGCCTTGTGTTATTTCGATATATTGTTGGCAAGTTTAAGTTACAGATGTTAAAGCATCATGGATTTGCATATTTGCCAATGATTTTACTACTTTTGCAATTATTTCTTTTAGTTCATCTTTTTTTATCCATGGGATTGTTTCTACTGCTTGAAATACAATTGAAGCAACCTTAATGTGTTCTGTCTTCAAGTTGATCAAATAAGATAGAAGCTTCATATACAAGCATTCTGAATACAAACTTCTAGAACTTAAGGGTTTCCATTCCTATTTCTCCTAACAACCCAGAAAACGGCCTGCGTTTTTTGTCAGCATTTGCACAAAATGCAATTGAAAGATGTTCTTTATCTTTCTTGCAACCTGCAGGATGCCATGTAGCCAATGATTGATCAGACTTCAGTCTAAAAAGTAAAATTCCTTTGTTCAATGAATCAACACAAAAGCTGGGGTTTTCCAGATATCTTTTATTGTGTTGAGAACTCCTTTTGTAACTTCTCTGAGAACTTCCACCGATTCTTTCCAATTTACGTCATGTTTTAATAATCTCGGTATATCTTCTGTTTGATGTTTATCAAAGCCTCAGTATGAAATTTTTACATTAATTAATATTTTAACGCATAATAATTATATTTACCGATAGAAAAGACCTGTCTCATCTATGTTATAAATTCGTTCTATGTGGCAGAGCCTTGACAACTGGTATTCAAATTAACAGATGCTTCTTCACCTTGAAGCTTTACTTGATGAATATTGTTTCGAATCTGGAGCCGTCCAAACAGAAAAGTTTAATGCATCTCAGAAATTCCTAGTTCGCTTGCTCGTGCTTTGGCCTCCTCAATTAGAATAGCATCACTTACTATTGTTTGATGCTGATGCATTAAACCGAATTCCTTAGCGCTTGTTCGGATATGTAACCGATCTGTGTCTTTTTGCATTTGGAGCGCAGAAAGTAACGGGTTGCTTCTTTGTTATTGCAGGCTCATTATCCATACTCCGCGCGAGATTTCCTATTAACGCGAGCACACAGACGATTGAGCATCTGTTAAAGTTGTCTCGTTTTTTGGTAGCATGGTGAAGTATTTTTATGAACAGTGAATGATAAACGATTTTTATTGTGATGGAAAAGAAGGAGTTTTTGATTCCTCGTAAAATTTTATGCGTTGGGTCACGTGGTAAAATTACAATGGCACAGCTACCTGACGATTTCATTTACATGACGTCACAAGTTGGGTTTGTTGCGTACGCCCATATATGATATTAATAGTGTGTGTAATCACTTTCACAGCATATCCGAGTATGGTATAGCTCCATTCATTCAGGAAATTGACTTTTTTTTTCCTATCCACTTTATCGACTTGCAGCCTTCAATTGCGGATGGGGGGCGCAAAAAAGGAGGGACCGATTGCATGCGACGATGATTACAATGATATGCAATCATGCTATCAAAATGTTACATGTCAATGGAACGAGAAAAAGAAGAAAAGTTTACTATACTAATTATTTAACAATATTAATATACCGAATAATGTAAGTTTCACGTGATGAACCATATGTCGATATATCGTATCATGAACAGAGTATATTATTATAATGTCGATATTCATAAACAAACAACATCCCAAAACGAGAAATAAAGCCTGCCATATAATAAACCCAGAATACAATCGAACAACATAAATAAATGGTAAACTATAAATAATAACACAAAACACACAACATATTTATTATCATACGTATTATTATATGCTATGCAATAGTTAAATATACTGTTCATTACTACAGTAATGTTTTTCACTTCTTTCTTCGCTCTCAAAACGCCAGTTGTTCCGCCCCTCTCAGCCCCAAGAGGTGGTGGCTAATATAAGGATGACGACATATTGCTTAGTAGTATGGTAGTAGCAGCAGTAGTAGTTGTCCCTGTCGCTGTTTACCGTTATTGTCGTTCCTGTTTCGGTTGTCCTGTGCTGCTGTTCTGTTGCTGCTGTTCTGTTGCTGCCACCGCGCTACTGTTATGTTACTGCGGCTATTTCCTGCCTTTGTTATTTGAAACCTAAACCATCCCCCAACTCTTTTCCATTCATCCTTCTTTATCTATTCATGCATCGGTTCATGAACAGTGGATACAATGGTGATACCAAAGAAGAGAAACGGGGCAAGTAAAGAGAAATAGACGATGGGCGTATGGTGATATGGTGATACGTATTTGGTGATATAATAATTTAAGATGTTTGTTTATACTGCAAAACCCTAATGGAGACAGTAATAAATGAGACATATATCGATATACATCTCTACACGTGGAGCAAGTTGAGCGAGGGATGAGTTGATGGTTGGTGGAAAGTTAGTGGAGGGTTAGTGAGGTTGGAGGGTTAGTTTGGTGGAGGGTTAGTGGAGGAAGGTGGAGGAAGGTGGAGGAAAGTGGAGGAAGGTTGAGGAAGGGATATACAATGACCCACCCCCATCCATGTTCCCAATACAATGGCATCTCTCTCTCTTGACATGACATAACAGTTTCCTTCTCTATCCCTTCCGATCCTTAAATGACGAAGCATGAGTCTGATAATCTCGCTCTATTTGGAGTGGTGTGTTTGCATGGCGACAGAAATGTTGTGTGTGGCTATGTGTGTGTATGTGTGTGCTTTTGCTTTTGCAAATGGTATTTTATTTGCCAAGGCGAGAAAGTGATGATGATGGGGGGATGATGGACATTGTGACTAAAAAATGTCCTCTTGATATTATTGCGCATATTGAATAGCGCATAAATAAAGAGAATTACAAATACAACCATGTATATATAATTATTAATACTATCACTATCACTATCACTATTGCCATTACCATTACTATGACTCTCCCTATCCTTCTCTCTTTCTTTTTATTTTCCTTTTATGCACTGTTGAACGTTGCTATCTTTCTTAGTATATATGCCTTATATGCCTGGTTTTTTCACCCCCCCCCCTCACCCTTTCCTCTCGCTTTCCCCGTCGCTTTCCCCTCGCTTTCCTCATCCTCTCTCCCCATTCTTCTTCCCATTCTTCTCCCCATTCTTCTCCCCATTCTTCTCCCCATTCTTCCCCCCATTTCTCTTCCCCACTGTCCCTCATCCCTCCTTCCATCTCTCCCCCTCCCCTCTCCTCTATCCCCTTCTTATCTTACTTATCCCACCGACATAATCAATCAGCACACCCCGACTCCGACCATTCCAAATACAGTTACGTATTGCATGCTCAAACGTCGTACATTTGCATCATCCATCAATCAGATGGACGGATTTGTACCTGACACAGCTCACCTGAAAGTTTACTCACAAGCAGCTTTTATTCATCCTTGGAACTCGCTCGACACACAAGCCCTTCCGAAACGTCCGCTTCCTCACCCCCCAACACTACTTTATATACAATACGTTATTTAACCCCCAAACATGGTTTACGTCTGCGGTGACATTTTATCAGCCGTCCCAGATAATAAAAAAATTATCTTCCTTCCCACACAGACACTACAAGAGTCTGTTGTTGGATTGAGTTGTTGTTTGTTAAAGTGTGTGTACAGTTCTTGCACGAGCAAAATAGAATAAATAATTAGGGATAGGAAAAGAAAATAGGAAATAGCCAAAGTGATATACAAGTAGATATCAACATACACCAATAAAGAATACCCAAGAAAGTGCCACGAGATATATATAATACGAAAAGACCTTGACTACCTCTTGTTGCCGTGTACTGTTCTCTCTTCTCACTCACACACATCCACACACATCCACACACATCCACACATACACACACACACACACAACACAACACAACGCATCCACTCCAGTAGAAGGGCGCAACGCTTGCCAAATAGAACACCCCCCGTTATTATACCCTTCTCGCTTTGTAAATACAAAGAAAACCCATCTCCCACTTTGTCAATAAACCATATTCACGAAAAAAATATTCCATATCCAGTAATCTCGAACGCACCCACCCGCACCCCTTCCTCTCCACCCAATAAATAAACGCCCAATAACACAATTGGCCACGCAATACAAAAAGCCTCTTGACAGAACTTGGCAATCAGTTCCACAATCTCAATTCGACAATCTAACATGGCCCAGAATCACAGTCAGACCGCTCGTTCGCGACAAACAACTACCAACGACACATCTGTTCGTGGTCGACAAGCCACAACAGAGTCAATGGTCGACAAGTACCATAAGCTAAAGAGGAAATACAAAGATATACAGCAGGTAAAAAACAGATAGAGGTGGATGGCGAATGGTGAATGGGAGAGATGAATGAGGTGAAGTGACAGGGTAGAGCAAGAGAGTGAGAGAAAGGGCGAGTGTATGTGGGTGTATGTGTGGCGGGAAAAGTAGAGTATATTTACTGCATTGGTGAAAACACTCGTGTTGATACGTACATGGATGGACATGGATTTGTGTAGGATAGTGCTTCTGTTGATAGGTAGCATCGAGCATAGTGACAGTTGTCAATTCTATACTTTGGACATTAGTTTAATACCTTTATGACGACAATGTCGCAATGTTCATTACTAACAATGTGACATGTACTTCGAATAGGTCGCAGATAATGTACGAAGTGATTTGGAACGTGCAAAGAAACGCATTCGATCTTTGAAACGGGAAAAGGAGTAAGTAAAAACAAGGATACTCTGGACTTGTCTGACCATCTCGATATTAATTTTTTTTTATTCTAGTCTTTTGCTTGAACGGCTGACAAAATTCGAAGACTCGGAAGATGACAGTCTTATTTCATCAGATAATTCTATACCAGCATCAGACATTGAATCATCTGAAACCGAAAGTAAGTAATCCTGACAAGTACACTAACTGGATACATCAATGGACGAATAACTTATTTTTGCTGTTCCTCACCCTCACCCTCACCCTTTTACCCTTACCCTTACCCTCACCCTCACCCTCTAGTTTCTTCAATAGCAAGTTCGCGAGCATCTTCACAACGCCCACCATCATCAACAGCATCTTCGCATTTGACAATCAAGAAACCTCGCTCACGCACGACTGCATCTTCACAACAAGCTGCAAAGAAACCAAATATTACTACAAATATCGTTCCCATCCCTCCGCCAGCAGTGACCAAACCAAAACGTGCGAGCAAACGACCAGTCAGTACAAAGACTATGAAAGTGCAGCATGTGGAAAAAGACGAAAATGGACATTACAAATTACCAGTACAAATTGGAATTTTAACAGTGTTGCATTTGGGAACAGTCGTTTGGGATCGAAATACTTTTCACAACGAACGGTACATCTGGCCCGTTGGGTATGCTGTCAAAAGGTAAGATAGTGGATGGCGAAAGGGTGGGGATGAATGGATGGATGGATGGATGGATGGAAATTACGTGTTTATTGCAATTATTAACTCGTATCTTTGATTTTATAGAATGTATAATAGTATGATCAATCCAGAAGCACAGACCATGTACACTTGTAAAATCGAAGATGGCGGAGAGAGTCCTAGAGTAAGTATATGACTATTCCCGATATGAGAATGGTGAATTAGAATATGAGGATGGTGGTTATGTATATATAATATGTAATCTGTGTATATATATGCATATGTGTAATGCGTACATATGTCATATGTGTATTTGGTCCCGAATTTATCACTCACCATTCTCATTCTCGTAATGCGTACATATGTCATATGTGTATTTGGTCCCGAAATTATCACTCACCTTCCTCATTCTCTCAACCTACATAGTTTGTGATAGAAGCCGAAGACCAACAGGGCAAACCAATAATTGCAAACACGGCCACAGGCGCATGGACGACCGTAGTGCGCGAAGCCAACTCTATCCGTCATCGCGACCATTCTAATTCTGCATCTGGCCCTGATTATTTTGGTTTCTCTCAGGCAACCATTCGGAAAATGATACAAGATCTTCCGAATGCACGCAAATGCAAGAACTATGTTGTGCAGAATTTCGAAGTAATGAAAACACGAAATGGAGGAAGAAGACGCGGTGTGGGGAAAGTGAATGGTGTTGCGAATGGTGTAAAGGCCGACGAGAAGGGAGAAAATGGTGTTGGAAATGGAGATGGAATAGCCGGGAGTGGGCGTGTGAGTAGTGTGAGCAGTCCTGACGGAGATGTTGTTATGAGCGAAGTTGAAGAAGAGAGTCCCGAGTAAAAAAAAAATGACGGGAGAAGGGCGATTTCAGAATGAAAATTGTACGTAATATTATAGGTGGTAATGATATCAGTAATTGTTAATGTTATTATATTTTAGTGGTGTATTGCGGATTGCTGGTTTTCTTTTCTTTTTCTTTTTCTAATCTTTTATATTTCTGTAATAATTCATATTCCTTCAATAGTGTTTGCTAACTAAACTAAATAACCCCACTCTTGTAATTCTTTTTCTTTGCTTTGCTTTTCAATTATTAAATTGATTCTACTTTGTATTTTTTTCTCCTTTCCTCCCTGTTGACATTTATTGCATGTTTGTTATTATTGCTATTGTATTCTCACAACAATATCCGAGTAGAGATTTGCAGTAATATAAGCTTTGTGGGTTTTAAAATGCAAATGCCAAATAAAATAAAATATATACGTTCAAAATGCTATTACTATTAATACATTCAAGGCTTGGCTATTACTGCGCATGAATTACAAATTATTTCTTGAAATGGTAATTAAATCCATTCATTTCGAATCTGGGATCATGAGATCTGCTTGATGCAACAACGAACTCTTTCATTGTCGTTTTCATTTTGGATCTGCGGCCAACCGAATGTGAACTAATTCGATAAAACAAAGACATGAGCATGCCATATCTGACTAGTAATAACGTCATGTGACCCGTAATTGTATTTTATATTATCCTAATTACGTATATAATAGATAAATATTATATAATCTCGATACATTATGTATAGTAGAGAGAAATATTATATACAAGAAGAAGAAGAAGAAGAAGAAGAAGAAAAGATATGTATATAGAGATATACGTATACATATGGATATAAGGTTTGTTTCAATTTCTCATCAAATCGGTCAATTCAATCGCGTATCAGTATAATTAACACAGTTTTTCATGTTATTCACGTAAAAAAAAAGGAATTCTAAAAATGATGAAAGAAAAAAATATGTATATAAAAATAACAATACATACGGCTCATTAATAGTAACTATTGCAAGTCGATGTTTAAAAATAGATATAACCAACTCGTTCGGCTGTCTACATTGTTAATAATATATAATACTATATATAATATATATAAAAAACTGAATATACTACAATTTACGCAAACACAGGTTGGAATGTATTGTCTATGAGACTATAAATGATATAATGTTTATGTGTGTGAATTTTACGACAATGACTGAAATTTGACCCGGTTGCAACTTCTCGATGATGTATAATTCATATTATTGTACCGACAATTGAAAGGCAAAATCAAAAACAAACAAAAATCCCCCAAAACTATATATATATGTATGTATGTATATATGTGTATATATCATAAAAAAAAATAAAGCAGGTAGAAGAATAGTATAGTTGAAGGAACACATCCAACAAAGAAAACCACAATTTGATCATCGCTTGCGCCGTTTATTGCGACCCTTGCCCCCTCCTCAAAATGAAAAGCGAAAAATGAATCACTGATAAACAGTTTCATTTCACGTTGATTGTTCTCCAACATCATCGCACCATCCACATGAAATTTACCGGTCCAAAGCACGAAGCAAGAAAAAAACTTATTACCCTTTTGATCTACAGCCATTATTCCTCTATTATAACGTACATACACCTCGTTGATCGTGTAATCGATCCCCTCGTTCCTCAAACCCCTACAACCTCTTCCCTACCCATGTCATCGACCACACATCTCGCAGAACACACCTTTTTATACTTGATAGATGTCATCCCCATACTCGGATGGTGTATGACTTCCTACACTAGGACTAGCACAATAGAGACTTGCTCCATCCATATCATCATCTGAAATTATATTCGGCATGGGAGATCCAGGCGATGGACTAGGTGGTAACGGTGTATTAACCGCTGTAGTGTATGCACTTAGGGAATTAGGGGACAGCGGCACCTGGCCTGCCAGTAGACTGTGCGTAGGACTGTGCCCGCCGCCCAAGTATGAGTTTCCCGTTAGTTGTACACTCAATCGGCCTCCTGTCGGACTCTGTCCATGTGGACTCGGATGACTCGAATGTGTTGTTAGATTGGTGTTGATTGTTAATGGTGTGGATGGACGCTGAGGAATTGTATGTACATGATTGTATAAGAATGGCGTTTGGTTTTCGGGAGACGTGATATATATCGGGGGACGATCAGGTTCGGGTTTGATGTCAAAATTATCAGAAAAGCTCAGCTCAATAGGAACTGCAGGATATAACAACAATATATTTTCAGGGCAATTGATAAGTAGCAATAACGTTTATATACATTAATGAAAAAAAAAGAGTTCAGAATTGAAATTGAAAAGTGATTGTAATTATAAATCTAGATGGTAACTATTTAATTAGAATCCAACTCACTTTGTGAAGATATTCCTTGCTGCTGCATAATTTCCCACATGCTCTTCATACACTGCTGCTGCATTATCTGTTTACGTTTGGTATCCGATAATTCGCGAATTATTTCGGTAAAGTTTTCTTGTAACTGTGCAATCTGTTGCATCAAATCTGCTTGAGATACTTGCATCATGGTTAATTGAGCATGTAAATCGCCCGTTTCTCTTCGTAGTGTCTCTGATTCCATTGCTTTTCTTTTTATGTCATCTAGCAGGTCGGGCCGACCACGTAAAAACTTGGTATGTGAAAATTCCCAAATCTGATTCTCGGCTAGTGTTCGGTGGCCTCTTGGTGATTTATTTACTTTATGGAAACCGTACCTTTTTAAAGGGGTGTATGGAAAAGTAGGGTTCGCGCGGTGAATGGTAAGATATTGTATTCGACAATGGATAAGAAAACGACAGCTGATACCGCCATGTTTCTTCCTCCTTGTTTCACATTCTCGTTCCCCTTGCCTTGCTCACTCACTCATTCGCTCACTTATTCACTCATTCATTCGCTCACTCACCACTCACTCACCACTCACTCACCACTCACTCACCACTCACTCACCACTCACTCACCACTCACTCACTACTCACTCACCACTCTCACTCTCATTCACTCACTTACATATTCAACTGCCGTACAAAGCTTGAAAAATTATTGTGCTTAAAATGTTTTGGTAATACATCTCTTGAGAATTCCATTATATTACAGACGATAAAAGACGAGCCACTATAATTCCATGCTATAAGGTGTTGATATTGTTTGTCGACAACCATACTAACATGTACAATGAACAAAAGCAAATGTCAATTAAGATAGACATTCAACGGACAAGCTCAATCACATAGTTTTATTTGTATTATCATTTTGTCGAGTAACTGGATTGGAATAGCAAAAGAATAGGAAATAGTCAAGTTACTTGTATAGTTTATGAACAAAGGTGTTATTGCCAACCTTTGCTGGACCGGGAGAGGGAGGTGCTAGTGTCATGTTCGAGTTGCTTGTTTGTGATTGGGGTGTTGTGGGAGTTGATGGGGAAGACGGTGATGGAATAAGAGAACCACTGTGGTTCATATTTAAATAACGCGCAATAAGGGAGATTTTCGAACAGAAGAATGGCAAACGGGTTGTGTTATAATAGTAGTGTTGTTTGTAGAGTTGATATTTGAAGTGTTGTATACTATTTATAGTTAAAAAGATTGTTTGCTTTTTTTTTCTCCCGGGTTTAAAAAGAAACCCTCTTTGTTTCGTGCGATTTTTACATTAGTTAAGGTTACATACTACATGAGTATATATATAAGAGCGGAGGGGGAGGGGGCACTAGCCAACACCCCTACATCTATTCGCAGGTCCCGGCTCATTAACCCGGAGCAAGCTCTTTTAATTGGTAAGCTTGGACAAAAATGTATTATAACTTCCAAATGTAACCGTCAACTGATCTTTTTTTACATTCAGGTCGTACTTGGGAATGATGGAATGTTCCCGCTTAACTTACCGGGAACGCAGTCAAACAATAAGAATGTATCGCGTGCGAGTCTTCATTCTCGATCCTATTGACTCAAGCGTCGATGGGCGTGCATATTACTATTTTGGCATGCATGTGTACCAATATTAATATTTAATAATTTGTTTGATGTTGGCGCTCCGGAGTATTCTTCAGGGAGGGGATTCTCCAATCAGAGTGTTGAGAAAATGCTCCGGAAGTTAGCGGATATTCTCCGACACAACAATCACAGGCAAAGGTTATGGGTGGGCCGATTCCAAATTTGAAATAGGTGCTATCATTGTCATTATGGCTATTTGTGATTTAATCAGACAGGCTTAATTTAGCCAGCGATTGACCCATCGTCCGCCCCTTTCCCCCAAAGACAATATTGATGTGTCATCATCAAAACTTGAAAATTTCACGTTCTCTTCTTCAACTGAACCGGTTTTTTAAAACTGTATCTCGTTACACGACCATAAATCAACAAATCTCGACAACAAATGGTTATGCTCTGATTATTGAATATTGATGAAAAGCCGTATACTGTGGAGGGCTTCATTTGGGGGATATCACATTATCGTATTTCATATATTATTTGTTATTGTGCCTAAAATACCTATGTTTGCTAAGTAAATCTGATCGATCATGCTTGGGAGAATCGGACCAAGTCAATCTCTTTTTCACATTGACGGCCGATTATTTCCCTTTCCTAAAAAGAATTGGACTTGTTAAATTTGTTTGTTCCCAGTTCATAGAGGCGGGTAATATTACACCGCCACCTCCATGTTCCACGTACAGTAGAAATGTATCAAATATTCCTAACGCTAAACCTTGTTTCGAAAGTGGCAAGGATCATCAATAGCCATTTAAAGTTAAGCAACGATTTTATTGTCTTGTAAAAAAAGCCCCGATATTCTGTGTCTGTCTGCGGATTATCATGTATTTTCCCGAAACCTAATTAGTATAGAGATTTTAGGAGCAATTTGCAGTGTATAGCTCGACTCTCACAAACCTTACGTAATTCCTATTAGAAAGTTCTGTTTGACGACGTTCAGATAAGAGAACCAAGTGGAAGCAATATTGAGTATATGTGAAACCTGTTTCAATTCAAATTATCTTTTGCGGTTATCACGTGTTAAAAATTATTGTCAATCAAATGCACATGATAACAAACCAGTGAACATCCAGTAACGACAGGTTGACCTCCACATTCTCAATGTCCACACATTCTCATGGCCATTGATCCCTGGTCAGCTGTTCCATCTTCCACCTCGCACTAATTAACACAATGGTTGATTCACTCCCATAATCAGGTAACCAAGGACGACAGAAGTCAAAAGTTTATTCGTAACAAAATTACTGTCTGATGTCGTTAATCGAAGAAATCTTTTGTACAGAAATATCTATCAAAAACTACAATGAATTCGATGAGTGCTAATGATTTTTGACAAACCAACTTTTTAAACATTCCTAGTTAAGACGTATAAACTTACAAATGTGTATGCAGACTGGATTGCGTATAAATTCATTGATGAGTGGAGAATCTCGAAAAAAGAAAGCTGGCATTTTTTGCATGTGACTTGCCTGAATTCCACAGTCTATTCAGGATCACAATACCTTTGAGATTGCAAGTAAGCGAAAACGCGATGATAATGCTTTCGCCATGACAATCCTAATATCTAGCATTATTACAAGCATCGTTTAGATGTACTAACATGCCTTGACTACAGTAATGTGAGTATCCCATGCCAGAACTATCACATCGTCTTACTCTTCGAATTCTACTTCCATCATCCACCTCACTCTCTCATTCAATTTCTTGGAACCGAACTTTCTTACTCTTCTCGCATTCTTTTCCGCACACTTTCTAACTACATTCTCGTACTCTCGCTCGTAATTTTCGCATTTCCAACTCATGTACATTAAATGTGGACATCTGTCGAGTATCATCTTAACGTCACTTACTCCCAATTCCATCCCCTTCAGATCCAATCGACGCAGTGTATTCGGAATATGGTTGACCATTCCAAGAATACATCTGTACGATTGAAACAGTACGTTGTTCCATCTACGGGATATAGATAACGTCTGCAGTGATTGCGATATCTTTAGCAATGAAAACAACTCTTGTATCTGATCAGTAGATTGTATGCATGTTTCGAATGTCTTTAGTTTGTGGCAGTGCCCAGCTATCGTCTTTACTAGCCCACTATAGTATTTCAAATTGACATTGAGATGTATCTCATCAAGCGTATCCTTTGCTAATTTGATTATAGTAATTAATTCGTTGTTGGGTCTGTCACGTGATTTAACATTCCACGTCTCGTCTATTTCTCCAACGTAGAGATATCGAAGGTTGTTGAAAACAGCGTTGGCCAACGGACGCAAGTGCATGCTTCGCAATGGTATCCTGTGTAGAGTCAGTCTCTCCAATTTATAGCACTCTCGTATAGATTCCAAAGCGTTCTCGTCCAGTATTCCAACAGACAACACTAATTCGGTGAGAGAGCATCGATGTTGATGTAGATATCTTGTGAGTGGAGAGAGGTTAGTCAATGCATCTGTCGACCTGATCTCAATCTTTCGCAATTGCTTTTGTTTCGAGATGAATGATGACAATTGATCAAATGCTGTAGATGTGTTGCTCGTCTGAATGGTGGTGATTTCGTCTATATTTGTACAACACTTTTCAATCTGTCTGATGAATTCGCTCTGAATGACCTTTTCTGCATAGTAGAATTTCTTTACATGTTGTAATGCATTCTCCGAGACGGGTAGCTTTATCATTTCAACAATATATCTCTTGGCGCATTCGTATGGCCATTGCTTCAGTCCCGTCATATCAACAACAAATTCGAATATGCGTCCACTACGTTCAAAAATCATCTGACATATCACATTCAAGACTTGCAACTGTCTTTCCACAATAGTATCGCCCGTTTCCTCGTCCGTTCCGTCGATATCCAGCGATCCTGCCATCAAGATATCATTGTCGAACCACCATCTGATAATAGACTCGCACAAAATTATGTAATCAATCCCACGTATAAATGACGGATAATCGAAGGACGCGCGGCATATAGTAACGTTATTAAGACAAAGAGTCGAGAGAGTATATCGCGAGAGATGAGATAGAATAAACGGTATTATAAGAGATAGACGAGACACTGAGCGTCCAGAATTAAACGGAAAAGACCACAAAAATCGTATCCCGGCAGTGCACCATGATTTGTTTACTAATATTATGGAATAAAACGTGTGAATGTCACGCTTATCAATATAACTGAATACAATAGAAAGTGTTTCGGGTGGAAGTTGAAGAGTCATACTGATCGCGGTTAAAAAAGAAAATTAGAGAGTCGATCAGACTGCAAGCTTGTATGAATCACGCGTCATTTCACGTGATATGTTATGCATCTGGATCATCTCTGGGAAAGTTTGCAACATTCACGCCAATCTCTCAGCTATGCCATTCGGACTACTCACAGGCAACTCCAGTAACCAACTGCGTTTATTTCCAAACAACATCAACAGGGCGACGCGGGCCCGGATCGATAGCTTCAAGCGTATATGCAGATCCTCACTATCCACTCTTCAACCAAGGATAATTTATCCGCATGCATTTTCATGGACAAATATCGCATACCAGAATAGACCATTACGCAATTTATTATCAAGCACGGCTCAAAAATCACAGCAACTTAGGGAATATGTTAATGCTAAAGACACAAGAAGAGGCTCCAAGCCTGTGTGGTCTGAAGAAGATGATTTAAAGCTCATCGACGCAGTCGATAGATTAGGGAAGAAATGGAAAAAGATTGCAGAGACATACTTTCCCGACAAATCACCGTCTTCATTGAATGCCCATTATATCATCATGCAAACAAGAGCAAAGAAGAAGGTATTGTGCAAACGCTGGACACCAGAAGAAGATCAAATACTCAGGGATGGCGTACAGAAATATGGTCCCGGAAAGTGGAGATACTTTCATTCACTACTACCGGACCGGACTGTTCGAGATATTGGTCATCGGTGGACCAAGCTGCAAGCACAAAAGGAAGGTACATGGATTGGTGAAGAAGACAAGTTTTTAATCCGTCTTGTGCAAACACATGGGACAAAATGGTCAGAAATTGCCAAGAAAATGAATAGGACCCCAACGTCTGTGCGTTACCGTTATTTTGTAGGGTTGTTTAACAAACTACACCCATGGACTCAAGAAGAAAACGAAAAGCTGAAACAGATTGTACTGAACACTGGTACCAATTGGCATGAAATAGCCAAACTTTTTCCCAAAAGGAATGTAGACAATATACGGGATCATTATGCAAATACAGCATCAGTCAATCCGTTTATCAACAAGGGTAAATGGAATGAAGAGGAAAAACGGGGATTTGATATAGCAATAGCTAAATATGGAATTCAGTGGGCTCTCATTGCCAAAGACATTGGAACCAGAACTCGTCTTCAATGTTACTACTATTGGAGAACTGGACAAAAGAGACAGCAGAGAAATCAGCAGAACTTTAGACAATGAGTTTTACTATAAACATAGAGATTTGATGATATTGGACCAAGTGATTCTTTAATACTATGATCCTTACTTGTAATTGATTTGATACATCTTGAATTTTGGATTATGTTTGAGAGGTCGAACTATGGTAAGTTTTACTGTGATCTTTTATAGAATAGAATGGAAAACTCGTTCTCAAAATAATAAATTGTTTTATACTATGTGATACTTTGTTCAAGAGTGTTCTTTATAGACATGACAGCATTTTTGAATCTGCCTAGATTAATAATAAGATATTAGTACAACATGTGACTTTTATTGTAATGACCTTAAACTGTCTTGTAGTTAGTTAACCTTATTACCTTTGCTGAGATAGATATTGTCAAGGCTTTTAATAATATCAACTTAAGTGACAGTCTTTCTTCAACTATGCTTGAATGTCTCTTTCCACATTACATATGTTTGCTCTCTGTATCACTAACATATATTCTGTTTTGCAAGGTCTTGTCATGTTCAATTGGTAGGTTTATCTCATGTATCATTTATTGAATCTGACTTTATTGCCAAAATATATAGTATTATAATAAATTTAGTTTTAGCAATTACATGACCAATCAGGACTGCTACATAATTTAATCTAAAAAATAAAATTAAAATAAAACCTGATTAATTTTTTTTAATAACAAGCTTGCAACAGTTTTCATAGAGTAAGAGTTAACTAGAACCATATTAATATCAGAACTATCTGACATTTCTCCTTCACAAATGGCCATCAAATCTTTTGAGTGATATATTTAGTCAAGTCAGAATATGCAATTGCTTTGCACATGGTTCCAAAATTGTAACTTTTTGATAAAAGCCTTGACAAGAAAAAGTTACATGACAATATCAAAATAAACCTAAACTTTGCATATTAGTATGTTTGAATGTTTTGCATAGTTGGACCACATACACCATGATAAAGGATTAGTACAGTCCCTGGCAAAAATAATGGCGGCTAGTAAAAAATTTTTTTTAATATATCAATTTTGTTCTCTTAACAGAAGTCCAAGACTAATATTATAACTTGTAAAAAAACCAAGATGAAAAGGGGCTTTCTTTTAGTATTAGATCTATATTAATTTAAACCTAATATTATGAATAAAATTTTGAGTAAGCAAATGGAAAAGCTTTTTTACATTAACAGATTAGACTATATCAGGCAAAAATTGTATTTTTCGACTTGTAATCTTCTAAATTTTAATTAATACTGTTATTATAAGTTTAGAGTCAATCCAAATCTTACTGAGATTATTAAAATGCAAATATAAAAACAAGGGTATTTTTAATTATGCCTGACATATTAAGAAAAGTAATAATACATTTACATATTACTATAAAAACAGATAACCAATTTTTGTGTTAAATTTTTATAAAAACTTTAAAAACGATTGTCACCGCCATTATTTTCGCCGGGGACTGTATAAACAAGCAAAGAAAGAGGATAGTGTTACGGCAAGCCGATCTGATGAATCAGATAAGTGAGTCACATGGTAAAATCTTCCTCCGCAGTCAAACAAAATCCCATGATCGACGTTAATTTTAGAATGGTAGTACGGCGTTGCGTTTTAGGCACCGTGTCAGCACAAACGCAATTAGCTAACTTAGAAAACGTTTCGATTTTTGCGTGTCAGTACAAACACAATTAGCTAA